CTCTTCCCCTTCACCAAACCCCACCTGGCTGTGGGCACGTGTGCTCTTCCGATCTCCTCCCTCTTGGATTCAGCGCAACCTGCTGGCCGTGGTGTCCGGCATTGGGTTTGCTCTGGCCATTCTCGTGGCTGTGGTCGTGGTCAAGAAGTTCGGCCGCGTCCACTCCGCCAAGAAGTTCTACTAGAGGCCCTTGAACATGCCCCCCCCGCCCCCCCTCCCCTCTCTTCCCCTTCACCAAACCCCACCTGGCTGTGGGCTTGCGCGTGCACTCGGATTTCAACTGCCTCTCCCCGTCTTCCCCTCGCATTGTGAGCGCCAGGAAAAAAAACAAACAATACATGCCATCCCGCTGCAAGCAGGTGCTGGGAGTGTTTTTACTTCTTCTTCTTCTTTTTTCACCTTTCCCCTGGAGCCCGAGAGAATGGCCGGCGCGGAGATGGGTCTGGAGGCCATGTGTAGTTGTGATATCACTCGATGATGGCCAATTGCTCAAGGTGCAAGTGCTCCCGACCCGCCTGTAGCAGGCTCTTGAGAGTGCCTGGATTTCCAAGGGGGACAATTGAAGTCAAACATGGGAAAGAGGCGGACAGAGAGAAGGAGAGGGTGGAGATACAGCGGATGTATATATGGGCATGCGTGCGTGCAGATCGGAAGAGCACACGTCTGAGGTGCAAGTGCTCCCGACCCGCCTGTAGCAGGCTCTTGAGAGTGCCTGGATTTCCAAGGGGGACAATTGAAGTCAAACATGGGAAAGAGGCGGACAGAGAGAAGGAGAGGGTGGAGATACAGCGGATGTATATATGGGCATGCGTGCGTGCATGCGTGCATGTGTCCAGAAAGTGGGTCAGCGTCCTTCGGAAGGTGCGGATAAAATGCAGGACAAGCAGGAAAGCAAACGAACCGCCAATGTGCACTACCCGGGGTGTGCAAAACACCTTGGATCCATTGCTCGAGGTGATGTGCATTGGCGCGGCCAGGGTGATGGCCGCGCGCACTGGGGCCGCGGCTTCGCGTGCCACTCGCACGATGGCCCTGCCAGTCCCGGGATTCCAGTAGAGCAGCGAGGGGCCCTTGCCACCGGCAGGCACGCCAGCCGGCAGCGTCGACACGGGCATCGATTTGGCCCCGGCCGTGATGGCTGATTGCCCCGGGTCGCCGAAGAGACCCGCCACCGCGTCTCGCACATAGGCCGCCACATGGTGCGGCAGGACCGCCGAGAAAGGAGCCACCGCCGTGTCGGACGGCTCGGGATAAAAGCGGATCAGCAAGTGCCGGTGCTTGACTCGGACCATGGTTCTTGCGGAGCACACCCAGAAGGGGAGACAACTGAGGGAGAAGGAGGGAGAGAGGGGGGGGGGCGAGAGGCGAGAGGCGAGAGGCGAGAGGCAGATTTGCGGAAGGCAAGTAGGTGACGGAGATGCACATGGGCCGGCGGCATCTGCGAAGACGCCGTTTGAAGAAGACCCTACCGCGATCGGCCTGCCCTCCGGCGGCGCCCTCTGAGCCACTGTCCTCGGACAAGGGCCCGGGGGCAGCTTGCCCCCCACTGCCCCAGGGCAAGTTCCACCGGGGCGCCAGAGGCAGGCCGCCAGTGTGCCCATTCGTTGGCACCCCCATCACAGCATGGCCCGGTGAGGGGAGTGTGGGCGTGTGGGCATGTGGGGCGGCACCAGAGCCGCTGCGAGGAAGCGTGCCCTTGACTGATACTGGCGTCAGCCCCCATCTCAAGCAGGAGGGCCTGCTTCCCTCGCGCCTCCCCGCTGCCTCGGCGACGACGACGACGACGACGACGACGACGCCGACATGCACCTCGGCTGGATGCAGTCTGGGGCGCGACTTTTCTCACGCAGACCCAGTGTCACTCCTGCTGGATCGCCCGGCATTGCACCCTGCGCCTTTGTCTCCCGACCCCCACCCCTGCCCCCCCCTCCCCCCCATACCCACCCACACACCCACACACACGCCCACACACAGCCATGCCCCCAACTTCCAGAGCTACCCGGACAAAGCCCAACATCCTGATCACCGGCACCCCGGGCACCGGTAAGACCACCCTCGCCGGGTTGGTCACCTCGGCTCTGCCGGACTACCAGCTGCTGGAGGTTGGCAAGGTGGTGGCCCAGCGGAACCTCCACTGCGGCCGCGACGAGTCCTTCGACACGCTGATCCTCGATGAGGACCTGCTGCTGGACGAGATGGAGCTCATCCTCGGTGGCGATGACGCCGGCGGCCGCGGCGTCGAGCCCCAGCACGCGGCCCGCGGCGGATCTGGCGGCTGGGTGGTTGACTACCACTCGTCCGATCTCTTTCCCGAGCGCTGGTTCGATATGGTCATTGTGCTGCGCTCCTCCACCTCCATCCTGAACGATCGCCTGGTGATGCGGTATGTCGGTGACTTGGCCCACCTTCAAATGGGCCGCAGCCCTTCTCGTCTCTCTCCCTCTCTCTCTCTCTCTCTCCAGCTCCCAGTCGACTTGCCTCCCCGCTGACCAAGTGCTTGCCATTTCCCATGCTCCGCCCCTCGCCCCGCCCCCCTTTGCCCGCGATCTGTCCTGGCACCCAGCTCCTACTCGGAGAAGAAGATCAGCGAGAACATCATGTGCGAGATCATGGACGTGTCTTTCAACGAGGCCCTGGAGGCCTACCATCCCTCGCGTGTGCTGTCTCTCCCGAGCGACTCCATCGAAGAGATGTCCGACAATGTCTCTCGCGTGGTCGAGTGGGCCGAGGCATGGGAGCAGTCGATGTCCACCCATGGTGTTGAGGCCCGAATCCACGTTGACATCGACCCGATCGGCGGTGATGGCGACGGGTCCGGGGCCATGGACTAAGGACACCCAAAGCATGTGCCTCCCATTACACATGCGCGTCGGGGTGCCGACCCTGCCCCCCTCCTCCGTCCCTCCCCTTCGCGCGCTCCCTCTCTCTCTCTCTCTCTCTCTCGCCGCTCTTGGCATGACCCTCCTCTCCCCTGTGACTCAACAACTCAAAGGGGGAGGAGAGAGATCATGACCATGGGTTCTCCAACATACAAACAAATATGCATGCTTGTGCAAGCACATAAAGAATATATATTTACAAAAAGAAAACACCGCCTCACGCTTGCTGATGTGCAGCTCCACTCCGGGAGAGCGAGAGAATGAGCAAAAACAGAGGCACAGGCCTCGACATTGGCATGCGAGAAGTCAACGCGCCGGGCCTCCCAAAGCCGAGCACCGACGCACCGGACTAGAACTTGCCATCGCCCCACTCGAAGACATTGCCGTTGACCGTCCCGACGGCCAGCGTCGGACGCAGGCTGCTGTCGCATGTGGGCGACCAGTCCACCGCCGAGCAGTACTGCCCCGAAAGTGGCAACGGTGTCACCAGCCGTCCGTCCTGTGTGGAGAAGATGTTGCCATTGCCCTGAACGTGAATGGATGCCAGGTTGTCGGCATTCGGACTGAAGGAGAAAAGGCCAAGGCATGGATTGTTGCCCATATCCCCCAACTTCAGGGGGGTTTCTATCGTCCGCCCGTTGGTGCTGCGCGCAAGCTGTCGAACACAGCACCCCATGTTTGGCAGGAGGGGTCGAGAGAGAGAGAGAGAGGGATGGAGGGAGGGAGGGAGGGAGGAGGCAGAGAACGTCGAGGTCAGCGAGGGAGGGATAAATGCGGAAGCAACATCGAGGAGGAAAGGAAGCACCTGTCCATCCCGATCGACGCTCATGATGGACACCTCGCCCGGGGAGAAGTGTGTCAGAGAGATGGGCGCCAGGCTGACCGGAAGGACTTGGATGGCTGACCGCTGAGACCGGATGTCGAACATGTGCACTGAGCCGGTTGTGTCGCCGACCAGCATCAAATTGCCATTTTGGTTGAAGCTCAGGCAGGTCGGCGTCGCAAAGTTTTCCAGCTTGATGGAATGCTGAAGCATCATGGGGAGAGAGAGGGAGAGAGCGAGCGAGCGAGCGAGCGAGCGAAGAAAATGAGTGACGCTGGGTTTTTTGAGGAGCGATTGGACAAGCGAGAAGGGCGAAAGCAGGCACACACCAGCGTCTTTTGCGAAGCCACATCGAATGCCAAGATCTCACCACTGTGGTAAGATCGGGAACTTGGTCCAGCGCTCGAAGTAAGGATGGCATAGCAGTGCGAGCTCGAGAATGGTTTCGGAGCGAGGAAGGACACACTGCACATCCGGCAGCTTTACGGGTTAGAATGCCGGATGCGGGGGACATGCATACGAAGGGAGGGCGGGCACGAACGTGGAAGAGGAGTTGTCGAGCGAGAAAATCCGTGTCGTCTGGTCATTCTGGGTTGGCAGGCCGGACAGCGAAGACATGCTCTGATGGCAGATACTGGTGTTTGAAGGGGAGAACAGCTGGAGTGGTGTGTGGTGTGTGGTGTGTACGAGAGAGAGAGAGAGAGAGAGAGAGAGAGAGAGAGGATGGTGTGTGTCAGAGGGGATGGAGCACATGAGCACTGGGGTGTATGTGGAAGATGCCTTCGTCACATATGGGGCTCGCACAATTCCGGACGAGTCGGGCATCCAGGCAAGGCTCTCAATCGAGGAGGAGACCTTGGTTGGGGTGGAGAGGATCATCCGACCAAAGCGATGAATGCTGGGGAATGCAAATGCCCGAGCAGGAGCCAAAGATAAATGGGGGAAAATCGTCAGACCCTGGCACATCAGGCCAAGAGCAGGAAAGGAGAAACGCCACAGCCAAATGATGCGAGCGCACTTCACTTCGCCCTTGACGGTGGCACTCAGGAGGTTAAGCCCGTCGGGCGAGTATTTCAGGAACTGGACAGCCGTCTTCAGGCTACCCGAGAGAACCGACGGAATTGACAGCTCGGGGGTGACCACTTTCCGGGGACAAAAATGCAGCAGGGTTAGCCAAAGGACCGGCAAGACCAAGAGGGAAGCCCATGTGAAAGGGAAGGCCAGGGCGCACGGGAACCGGAGGGAGGCGAGCCTTGCGAGGGGAGATCGCTGGCGGAGAGGAGGGCAGAGGGGGAAGCAAGCAGCAAAGGAGGTCAGCGCCACGCGAGGCAAAGGGAGGGAGGAGGGGGGGGGACGGGAAAAGAAGAAACCCCATGCATACAGAGAAGAGACATCCGAGCGCATGGCCTACAGTGGAAATGAAAGAAGAGGGAGAGAAGGATGGGTGGAGCGGGGAAAGACATCAGAAAGACCTGTCAGCGAAGGGCCAAGCATGCGGATGATAGGCAGAGGGTCAGAAGTCCCGAAGAGGACACTCCTCACGCACCATCAGGGAAATGGGTGAGACATCGATGCAAGAGGAGGCCGGCATGTGGAACTCATCTCGCAGGGGGGAGGACACATTGCTCAGCTCCCCGGTGCAACTGCGGGAGGCAATCAGACCGCGGGTGAGGCCAGACACCGTGGGTGATCCGCGCGATCCATTGTCACCAGGGGCCGAGAATTCGCCCGAGGGGGACCCGGTGGCCAGGGAGCCAGGCCCCTCGGAGGGAACATGCTCCGGCGTGACACTGGTGCTGGAAACGCCGCCAGTCGGAGCCGGAGTGCTGGGGCCCGGGCGCACTGGTTGCGATGCGCCGGTTGAGCTTTCCGCAACACCCGGCGCAGGATCAAATTGCCCGCTGGCAGAGAGCCCCGAGTCGGGACTGGTCATGATCGACGTCAATGGCGAGGTCAACATCGGCCGACTGGCGATCCCAACGACGGCCAAAAGCTCCTGCTCCAGGGAACTGATCCGAGAAGTGCGCTCCCGGAGCTGGCTGTCAGCCTGGGCGAGAGCCCCCTGCAGCCGAGTGACCTCGGCCTGAAGTGCGCGCAGGCGGTCCTCCTGCAGGGCCGCGTGCTCCTGCAGGGTCGCGAGGTTCTCCGTCCGATTGATCAGCTCCACCAACTGCGGCTTCTGCATCGAAGCCATGATGGTTGAGAGAGAGTTGACCAGAGAAACGTTGAATTTTTGCTCCCACTCTTTGGAGAAGTACACCCGGAAGTAGCCATCCAGATGGGGATTTTTCATCAGCGGTAGACCTGAGTAGGAGCACACCGATGCACCGAGGTGACATGGGAAGAAGGACCGAGGGGCTGAGTCAGCAAGGGGGCGGAGGGTCATCTTGCATTTGCGCCCGGGCAAACGGTCAAGAAAGCATATGCAGACACGTCCATGCATGCGTGCGCGCGCGCGTGTGTGTGTGTATGTGTGTGTGTGTGTGTGTGTGTCTGTAGACGCACTAAACCAGCGTAGCCATTCGTCGCCGCTGAACTCAAAGCCAAAGAGGCCGGACGAGGCGCCAGTTCCATCGACCGAACAGGCCGACAGGAAGTCCAGCGCAACCGACCGTTGGTCCAGGCGAATGGCCCGGACAAGTAGCAGCCGCACAAGGCAGACCCGAATGAACTTGAAGTTTTGCACATGCAGGGCTGTGGAGTGCGGCCCGCTGAGGTTGCCTCCGGTCGAAGGGGCCTGCAGACCGGCAGTGGCGCCGGCACTCAGGCCAGCCGACAGGCCTGCCATGCCAGTCCCCCCGGGAAGGGGCGCGCCCCCCGAGTGGTGTGGATTCCCAGGAGCAGAGGCACCAAGACCAGCACCGGCCACATTGGTCCCCAGACCGCGCGAGTCCGACCGGACATGCGATCCGGCTGACATTGAGGAGGCCATAATCCGGCGGAGGATAGCGTCCCATTCCTGTAGCAGGCCACGGTAGTCCAGCTCCGTCACAAATGACAACAAATGATCGGCCAAGCGTCGACCCTTCAGGTGTCAAAGGGGGAAGGGAGAAAGAGAGGTAAGGAGAGGGGAAAGTGAGGCGGATGTAAGCGCTGAAGTAGGGAAGTAGGGGGAGAGGGAGGGAGAGGGAGAGGCAGAGAGGGAGAGGCAGAGAGGGAGAGGCAGAGAGGGAGAGGGAGAGGCAGAGAGGGAGAGGCAGAGGCGGAGGGAGAGGCAGAGGCGGAGGGAGAGG